ATGCATTTTTCACAACTCTGCTACATGGCTCGCAGATATGCCTTGAAGGGAGATTCCTAAAGCAGTTAGTCTTCATAAACCACTTAATTTTCACTTGAGGTTTCAGTATTCCCAAATTCTCCACCGATATTATTTATATTCAGAATGCAAATGCTGCTTTGTGACACATTTACCAAAAATCTCTGGCAAAGAATACGAATGTTTTTGAAACGAATGTTCAAAGCTCTAGTAAAAATTTCGAAATTTCAATCCGTAAATTCTCTCAAGGATTTGCCTTTTTGCGAAGACTGCCCATCAATGGTCTTTGCGAATCGGCGCAAGTGTATTTGTAACATAGCCACGGCTACGCTACAGGAGATGAAATGTAATCCAAATTGAGGCTGCTATTTTTATTTCTATCACATACTTCCATTTTCAGTATTTATCACCATTAAATTGGATTATTTATCACCAAAAAATTTAGGCTTAGCTATTTTTAGTGAGAGGGAGGACAGAACCGCAACTTTTGGAGAAAGCTAAAATTCGGAAAAATTTTAGCTTTCCTATTTCAGCATTTTAGCGATACCGAAATTTAGAAGCCGGCTGATGATCGACACAGTTGGCTTTTTGATTTCGAAAGGACATCAGCAAGAAACGCTATGTTTTCAGATCTAAATATTTTAGCATCCTTTCCAAATTGTTTTCCTAATATTCATCTTTCTTTGATAAATAATTGCAAAAAGGACCCGTTTCAAGAGTTTCATGGAACTTTCGCAAATATCAGCAGCAACAAATTTTTTTCAACATGGGTTACAACCAAAAAAGCTTTTCTTTTTTTCGAACATCTAATCAGCCAAATTTCAAACAACTCGTCTTTTGTAATAGCATAATATCCCAGAAAAAAACCGTTTTCTTGAAAACTTACGAAAACTAATTACATCTTCATTTATTCATTTCCGTTTCCATTTTTTTGCCGAAAGTTAGCAAAATTGTAAAGGCTTACGTAAAAAAAAGTCACTTTTTTAAATTGGGACATAAGTTCTCACTTATAGTTTTGTTTTCCATTTAAACTTTTCCTTTAATTATTTGAACTTTACAAAAGAAACGCGCTTGAAACTTACAAAAAAACCGGTTGCGCAAACAACGTGTCAATAACGTTTTGAAAGTGTAACTTTGGTTTATTGCTGTCCAACGGTGTTTTTTATTTTACAAAAACTAAGTAAAGTTTCTATTATTTTGGAGTATTCCCTACAGAATGGCAACAAAAAATAATGTAAAACTGCCCTTACGAAATTGGACTTTCGCACAGCCAAATGAATCATTTTACCTAATGTACATTAACTTGATCCTTCAATATAGGTTGTGAGTGTCTGTGGTTTCGTCGTTGCCCTTGTCTTTGTTTATGCCCTTGTATCTTGCTCTCTGTATTTTCATTACCNGTTTTATACTTTTATTACTTTTTCGTCACTTTAAAAAAATCGTACTTTACGCGTTCGGAGACACTTGTTGAATGACAAAAATCGATCAATGAACACCTATAAATACTACGTAAGTTTCAATATTTTACTGAGAGGTACTTATGAATTGGCGCATCTTTTAAGGGTGGCTATATACCTGATTCGTGTGCGTTTTGAATTTTTCGAAACGTTCTAAAACATGACCACTCATAAATGTGGGTGCAATTTGTGTAAAAAAATCATGCAGGTAGCCAACGGAAAAAACCAAATTTTTGAAATTCATACCTTTACTTAATTTTGAATAAAAGCGAAACGCATACCTTGATTTTCATGATGTATGTCTCATTTTGTTCATAGGTTATGTGACTTTACGTGACACTTTTTTCCGTTTTGGATTTTTTATGAATTCATACATTTATTTTTACCGGCAAAACTGTTGAGTATATAGAAAAACGTTATATTAACAGATTAAAGGAATTGTAATTTTTAATTTTTGTAAATTTGTTTGAGCAAAATCGGACTAGTGGGCCACGTATAACTTGTTTTTGACCGATATAATATTTCCCGTTGGTTTCATCCCATCCCAATTTTGACTGTCGCATAGTGTTATTTTCCGAGCCAAAAATAAAACTCAATACATAACGATTATTTTCTGAGTAAAAAATTAAATTAAAAATAATAATGATTAAACTTGATTTTTATAACTAAAAGTTTAAAAATAAAAATCAGTGCCGCTGAAGGTATTCCGAGTAATAAGAAATATATTTGTTTACTCCTTATGCACGTAGCATGTCTCCTTCAGTGAGGTTTTTTGAGTTGAAATTTCAAAAATAATCGGTATTTGCGGTCCCTGCTTTGTATGCCATTTGATGCAGAACGAACTTTATTTCTATTAAAAATTAACGAAAAAAATGTATTACAAAAAACATTGCAAATATAAAAAAAAAACGCTGTACGGAAACATATTCTGGTTAGTGTATTTGATATCAACCTTAAGCAAATACTTCAAAGATTTTAATTAAAGGAGCAACTTAAAAAAAACCTCCAAAAGGCCTTTTGAAATACGTCCGATAAAAGCTCTTCAGGAAGGCCTTCCATGCGTAGCGAAAGAAGAAGCCTTTCAATTTGTGCCGCTCCATAAAAAAAGAAGGGAGAAAGGAATGTTGAGTGGAAGGCCCTTTGAATCTCAATAAGGCCTTTCGGAAGGCCTTTTAACTCCTGAAATTATCTACTGGGTTACGACCAGTGCACGGACTTCGAGAAAATTAATATTGGTAGATTTTACTTACATAAATTGGTAAAAGTTGGTAGACTTTTTTAAGAGCCAATATTAGATAGTTTTTATTCATTTAGAATAAATTAAAGCGAAAGATGGTACTAACAAAGCAGCTGGATTTTCGCCTGGGGGGTTCTTAATATCAAAATGATATATTTGTTGTAATTCTTAATGTATTTTTGCGTAAAATTTGTTAGTGGCATTTTTGTTTTTGAACTTCTGCTGTCACCTTATTATATGAATTCGCCTTGGAATAAATTGTATTTCTTTATAAAATAATAAAACATGCAAAAAACCGCATAAATATGTAATACATAAAAATAGACCCGAATCATGACATCCGTGATCGAATGAAATACGATTCGAAACGAACGAAGCAAAATGGCAGCCGTTTTCTCTCAAATACATTTTGAACTGAAAAAGCGAACTCGTAACCAAAAGCTGTAAAGAAAATTTCCATTCGAATTTGATTCGATCAAAGATGCCTTCATTCTCGCCACATTTTAAAATAAAACAAACAATTACTCCGCAATTCAAATTTCTTTATAAAATTAGTTTGGTAAAATGGCAGAAAATAAAATACAGCTAAAAAGTTGGTAGATCTACCAAGAAAGTGGTAAAGTCCGTGCACTGGTTACGACATACAACAATACGTAACCGTTGTGAATACCCCATATAAATAGCTTTGAATGCAGAGTTGGGGGTAGTGCAATAAATTTTGAGTGTACTAAGCACTAAATATATTCGGAAAAGAATGGGATTTTTCAATATTTATCACCAGCTTAACGATAGTTGAAAATTTCTTCACTACCCCTAAATCCATTAGTGATAGTGCTATTTTGCTTCACTATAACTAAATTAACTGATAGAGAACAAATCTACACTACACTCAAATAGTGAAAAAATTTTAGAATTCTCAACATAAAGCTGGAAGAAAAATATTTTCACTAAACTTTCAAAAAGTAATGCTGATGAAAATTTTCGACCCAGCAAATTATACGCCGCATATACATATGTACATACATACATATCGTCGTTTAAAATGCAAAACCGCGTATCAGCAAAATGCAATACCGCGTATGTGAAGTTGTAGAAATTATGTTCTAGAGCGTAAAAACACTCATATTTTAAAATGGTTCTCTTTTTTTATAAAGAAATCGCATATCTACCTAGTATATTTCAGGACGAATGGATAAGGATTGAGCCAAGAGCTTGTGTGAGCAAATCCAATTTTTGGCAGCCAATGTCAGTTACGCGGTTTTGCAGAATCACGATATGCGGTTTTGTACTTTAAACGACGATATGTATGTAAATGTGTAACATCATAACTTAAGATCGGTTGTCATGAATGATGCTCATAGTTTTGAGGCTGTGAGAGCAACATACTGTTACTCACAAAATTGAGCATACGGCTTTTTTTTGTTAATGTAAGCAATGTTTAAAATGCTAAAATTTGTTTGTTAATTTTGTATTAAAATGTGGCTTATATTTTAGCTAAGTTGATTTTTGAGAATTTTTTGCTGACTATCCTAATTTACCAAAAGTGTAAATTTACAAAATATGTAATGCGAAAATAGAAAAATTGAAGAGTGATCTGTTCTTTAACTTTCGGAAAATTAATTTATCGAATAAAATAGTGGTATTTTAAAATAAATACTCAAAATGGAAAATTTAGATTTTGACAGCGATGATAGGATTGTGGACCCCACATACATAAATGATGATACACCAACTACATATTGCTTTTTAAAAATAAAGTGAGAATATTTGGTAAATAAAGCAAACAAAAAATTAAGCAATTAATTATTAGGATGCACTTTTTTAAATTGTTTTCATAACTAATAATTTGTGTTATTTTTTATTACATACATACTGTTTCATCTTATTTAGTTTTGCCTTTTTAATGCAGTTTTACTCTCATATGCGATAAACTTTAAAACTCAATTTTTCAATTTACTGAAAAAATTCTGTATTCCAAAAAAAAATTGTGTTGGATTTTTTTACACTAAAAGTTTTAGTGAAGAAAAAAATGTTGCACTAGGCTGAATACTTTTTTCACTATTCTACTATTAATTTTAGTGATTTTTTTTCATTTCACTATCACTATTGTATAGTGAGGCTGATATTTTGCAATTCACCACTAAACACCAAAAGTAGTAATTAAAAAGTTTGCGCTATCACTAACTATTAGTGGAAACTGAAAATTTAGTGCACTACCCCCATCGCTGATTGAATGCACGTACTACATAAAGTTTTTGTTTTCTTTTTTTGAAAATATCTCTACAAAGGATCCCGTCAATTTGTATTTAATAATGGAGTTCTTACCGGGTGGCGATATGATGACGCTTCTAATGAAAAAGGACACTCTCTCGGAAGAATGCACACAGTTCTACATTAGTGAAACGGCCTTGGCCATAGATTCGATTCATAAATTAGGCTTCATTCATAGGGATATAAAACCCGATAACCTACTACTTGACTCGCGTGGACACTTGAAGGTAAATATGATACAAATATTTAAATGCATTTAAATTCCAGTTCCCTCTTTACCAATAAATTTGTAGCTTTCTGATTTTGGACTATGCACGGGTTTGAAAAAGTCGCATCGTACCGACTTTTACCGGGACCTTTCACAAGCCAAGCCATCCGATTTCATTGGAACATGTGCTAGGTAAGCATATTTTTCCCCCGATTTGTTTCAGTAATTCAAAATTTTATACTTTATCGTTTTTACTTCCTAGCCCAATGGATTCAAAACGGCGAGCAGAGTCGTGGAAACGTAATCGCCGAGCTTTGGCCTACAGTACAGTTGGAACACCTGATTACATTGCCCCAGAAGTATTTTTACAGACTGGTTATGGGCCTGCGTGTGACTGGTGGTCTTTAGGTGTAATAATGTACGAAATGCTGATGGGATACCCACCATTTTGTTCGGACAATCCTCAAGATACATACCGGAAAGTGATGAACTGGCGAGAAACATTGATATTCCCGCCCGAAATCCCAATATCCGAGGAAGCGAAAGATACAATTGTCAAATTCTGCTGCGAGGCCGACCGTCGTTTAGGCTCACAACGTGGTTTAGAAGATGTAAAATCAGTGCCATTCTTCAGAGGAGTGGATTGGGAACATATCCGCGAGCGTCCTGCGGCCATTCCCGTCGATGTGCGATCAATTGATGATACGTCCAACTTTGATGAATTCCCTGATGTTTCGCTCGAAATACGTATGTTTATGTGTACAAGCACTTTAATATAGGTTTATTTCTATTGGCATGTACAGTTCTTGTTTGTATATTTACAGCATCAGCCCCTATACCTCAAGGCAGCGAAATAGCCAAGGACTGGGTGTTCATAAACTACACATTTAAGCGCTTTGAAGTTCGAAATTTAGAGTGAAGTTGTTGCTATCCCGTCATTGCTCCGTAGAAATGCTTTATGAAACTTGATTCAATGATTTTATATCGAACATGAATAATTTAAGATTATATTTATTGAGTTAAATTAGAAAAAGTAATAACCAGTGTGCATAATTAACTTTATTAACTATTTATTGTTGTCCCATATTTAATCATTTGCAAATGTAAGTATGGTGTGTGGGTTTGTGATGATCATTTTCAAATCTACTTAAAGTAAGTTTTGTTGAAAAATGTCCACTCGCCAAATTTTAAAAGATAGTTTCCAGGCACGTCTAAGTTTTTTCTTGAATAATTGTTGCATTGCTTTCTTCAATTTGCAATTTATAGTCGTATGCAAATTAGTGCATATAACTAATCATGGGTGTCGCTACCTAGGGGCAGGGGCTCGAGGCACCGCGCCCCAAGCCTCCCCCTCCTAACCTTTGAATTTTACCTTCCATGAAGGTATACAAAACTAAGAAATGGTCTCTGAAAGCAAAATTCTTTACCCGGGAGTAAAATGTGCCTTACAATTTCACTTAGCTCTGCCGTGTACTTACAAACTTGCACAATTGAAAGGTAGTTTAGCACACTAAAGACCGTTTTCTGAAGTAACCTTTAAGTTTAAAGTTCAGGTAATATTTAAAAGTTGGATTAAAAGTAAAGCTATGTCTAAAGTTAAGCATTTCTAATATCGGTTTATGACGTATGCGTATTTCTTGGTTGTAAACTAATTTAAAACGGATAGTAGAATGCTTTACTTTAGACACAATCATAAATTTTAATGCAACCTTTAAATATAAAGGGAGCTTTAAAGTTACACGTTACTTGAGAAAACGGCCCTAAGAAGGGTAAAAACTTGGCTGCGCTCCACATGAGCGAAACTCGACTTAACGGTAATCATCTACATATATATAATTGCTCAATCATACGACTAAGGGCGATCTGTAGCAGCTACAAAATTAGGCTATATATCAAATTAAAGTGCAAGCTGCAGTTGCAGTTGACCGTGTTTGTCACAAGAGTAAAAAGTGGCAGAAAAGTCGTGTGGGCAATATACTCTATTGAAAAATATTAACAAATTTTTCGTCGAATTGAGTTTCGGAAAAGGTGTTAGATATTATTCATAGTTTTGAAATATATTTCACGAAAGCAAAAATTATAAGTTGAGATAACTTTCTTTTTTAAAGACCTAGGATATCACTGACCAATTTAAAGGACCCTGAAGGACGGCAAAGCTCAAAGTTTTTATTTTTATAAATATATTGATGTGTTTTTCGAAATGAACGATCCAAAATTAGCGAGTGTACATATTTTAAAATTTTTATCAGTGGTTGAATTTTTTACTGCAAGGGTTAAAAAAGCCTTAGTTTAAAAGTGTGATATTCAGGCTGGTTCTGCAATTCACTTTCGAGTGAATTTCAATAAACTTCGCTTTGAATCTACTGTACGAAGCTTTGAGTAGAGTAAGGTCGTTTAAGAACTTAAAGTTATCAGGTCTCTAGCAATACAAGATCAGTTGTTGTCTTTAACGAAGTTTTTAAATAAATATTGAGCTAAATACTGAAATGTATTTATGAATATCACGTTTTATTATATAATTAAATTTAAATTTTTAATATTAGTAAGTATTTCTTTACTGCATTCACCCGAATTTCGGGGGCTCATACCAGTTTTAATAAATTGTCAGTTTAATTTCTTATAAAATTTACCTTTAGGTTTATGCATCTTAAAGCGTATCAGATGAGGAAATATTTCCCATTCCCACGACAGCCGGTTCTACGTACCGGAATGACTCGGGTTTTACCCGACAAAGGGCTGTTGTTTCGGCGATCTAACCCCGTTTAGGTCGGCGAAATCCCTCAAAAGTTGTACGTCCATAGGGCTACATTCGCTACGTTTTCTTCTACTCAGGGCTGGCATCGAGTCAAACCCAGGGGCCAGAAACCTACACCTGCTGCGTATGCCAGAGACGACTACACCACAACTCCACCTCAGTCAAGTGCAATGCTTGCGAGGGGTGGAGTCACCTCAGAGTCTACTCAGGACTACGGACACATCGGTAGTGGACCACGTCTTTTGTGGCTCAAACAGCGCAGCCTCCACGGCTAACTCCAGTCCATCTGAGCAGTCCCACACAAACACCGCAGCACAACAACATAACACAATAGACCACACCACAACTGCTACAGACCACAGAACACACACAACCGCACCACCACCCACACGCCGCCGCCAACAACTCGTGGTT